GCCCATTTTTTTAAAGGCCCCTTTTTCCCAAATTAAAAAAACTGCAGAAAAAAAAGGAAAAAAAAAAAAAAAAAAAAAAAAAGAAGATCCTCATGCAACTTCATTTGCACTGAAAATCTTAAAACTATATGGAGATTCATCACATTGTAAGGAAGGAAGATGATCCTCCCGTCTTTATTGCACATTTCATTCCTAGAAGGTTCCTCTTAGTTGAGATTAAGCTTTAATTTAGAATAGCTTCAATAATAAAAGCAGTGTTCACAAACTACAGTTTGTAGATCGGTGTTAGTGTGTAAAACAAATGCTTTTTGGGATAAAACTTGTTCAAATCAAAGCGCACAGTAACTTACTTCCAATTAATTTCACCTCCGACTGATCACAAAAAAAACATTTTATTTTTGCATCTGCGAATGCCAAACTTTTGGTTTCTGACCTCATACAATTCTGTGAAAAGCATAAATACAGCAACAGCCTGATTTAATGTTGCTTCTTTTTTACATATATATATTCATGACAAGTTTTTAAATGTATTCAGAATGTCAATAAATTATGACACATGCAATCTTTTCTAGGATCCCTATATTCTGTTTTATAACCCAAAGTTGGGGTCTGACCTGAACTTTTGGGACCACATACAAAAAACGGGCTTGTTATGTTTGAAAAGACTGCCCTCCAGTGGCTGACCCTCAGAGCTGGGTGAGTAGTTTACAAGCATTGAGCAAAAATCAAACCCCATGCAATAAAGTGTCACAGTTACAGACATGTTTAGGTTTTTTTATACATCTCCAGTGTCTTGGATTTAAATGGATGAAACGCAGTACTGTGTGAAATAAAATCCTGGATCTGATTGTTACATCCAGCTGATGGTGAAGTTCTGGGTGAGTCTGAGACCCAGGCTCGCTACCGATAAGACCTGCAGGGGGGAATGAAAACAGAGAAATACGAAAAATAACTCAAAGCAGGATTTCAAATCAAAGAGAGCATGCATTATTTTAAGAAACTCAGGCTGTGGAGTGTGCTTCATTGTTTTGCGAGCTTAGTTTAAATTGAGCATTTCTACTTGAAATTTATCAAGTGGTTGAGATGATTTCTAAAGTAAATTGAGATTCTAATCAGGATCATAAATGAGAATGCTGAAGTAAACGTTGGCCACATATCCCTAAAAAACAGCCGCAGGTATCAACGTGACCTTCCCCGTAACCCCGGAGTTCACCTGGTTGTCTCTGTAGATGAATGGAAACTTCTGGGAATTCACCAGCACCGCGCTCGGCTTCTGCTTCACCCCGTAGAACGAGGCCGAGTCGATGCTGAGGAACGAGCCTTCCTGGTCGCTGTGCAGCACGCTGGACGTCATCGTGTTCTAGAAAACGAGATCAGCTACAACTAAGATTCACTGCAGCTGATTCACTTCCTTTAAATCAAACCTGGACAATGTCATGCAAAATTAAACTCCTGACAAAGTGGGACCAGGTGAAGCAACGTTAGACCAGAGTGGTGGAAAAACTCTTTGCACCTGGGAGACGTTGAATGCTACGTATGTGTACCGCTGCGTCTCATAGGTGTCGATGGTTTCGCCGTCGTCCCAGAACAGATCGCCGCTGGCCGAACCGTCGTCAGACAGAGCAGAGACCAGGTGCAGCGGCTGACCGCTACTGATCCACAGCGTCACGTTGGGCTCCTGAGCAGAAGATCCAAACAAAAACAACGGAAATATGATCAGAGGAAGGTTTCTGCAACTTTGTCACACTTATAGGATGAACGAACTGAGCGACAGAGGACAGACAGACTAAGACAAATGGGCAGATCTTTTAGACAGTAAAACATAAATGGATAATGGTCAAACGGATGGACAGACATGCAAACAGAACAATGAATTGACAAATAAAGTCAAGTTCTTGTTTTTCTACACGTCCAAAATCTGGAAAATGCGTCAACATCTCCAGATTGTATAGCGATGTTCTTAAAGAACAAGTTTTTTATTTCTATTTTTAGAATTCAGGCAAGCATAAAAAAGGATGGATTTAAAAACAAAAGACAAAAACTGATTCCAAACCAATGAGGAAGAGATATCTAAAAACGTATTACTGGTATTTTAACATAATTTTTGTAGAAATTCAGTGCAAATACTGCAGGGAAAAATTGAATAACCTTTAAAAACCTGCATTTGTTGTTCCATCTGTATTTAAAATACATTAACTGGTTCCTTTCTCTTCGTACCCAACGATGGTAGGAACCACTAATCTAGTCTGTTCAGTCAAAGTGGAACACTAAATGTCAACAAATATCAGAATATTTGTACTTCCAGCCCCTAAACGGTGAGGAAAACACAATAAGTCCAACTAAAGAGCCCCACCTGTGTTGGAATAATGGAGCCCTGACGCAGATGCAGGTTGATTTTATCCATTGGTGCACTCAGGCGAAGTTCTTCCCCTTTGCTGCTCACAGAGTCGCCCTGGAAGTAAAATGGGACGAGCGGAGGCGAGTCATTACCCTTTATGTAATCACTGTTTACTAATGTTTATGATAAGCAGACTTACAGTGTAGAAGTCATACCACAGGCCTTCTGGGAAGTACCCATCCACATAGTCCACTCCAGGCTCCAGCACTGGAGTCACCAACAAGCTCCTCCCCCAGAGAAACTGACTGTCGATGCCGTAAGTTTTTACGTCTTTGGGAAACCTGGTGGTTGCACAGGGCCATGGGTCAATCAGAGTTCAGTACACAAGTAAATAAATATTAAGAAAAGCGAAAAGTTGTTCTTACTCAAACATGAGCGGCCGAGCTACAGTGTGCCCTTTAATGTGAGCGTGATGAAAGAGGGTGTAGAGGAACGGGAAGAAGGAGTAACGCAGCAGCAGAGCCTGTTTCATGGCCGTACGGGCCGACGGGCTGAAAGCGGTCGGATCCTGAGGCTGAAAAAACAAAACATTCATATATTCGTCACTTTTACAAAAATGTATACATAAATGAGGAAAGAAATAAGGATGGAAACAAAGAAAATAAAGGAAAAAATAAAGAAATTCAAAAGAAAAGAAAGAAATAGGAGGAAAACAAAGAAAGAAAAAAATAGATGTAGAAACAGGAAAAGAAGGAGAAAAACAAAAAAAAGAGAAAGAAAGAAGCAGACAAAATGTTTTTTTCTACAGTTTCTCGTATTGCGTTATGTTTTATGTTATAACATAAAACTTTATTAAATGGATGAGTAAATGCACCCAGTGGATGCAAACTGGACACCCAGGAGAGATTAAACTGTTGCAATGCCATCGACCAGAAGTAACTCAAGCTGATCACGATGAACTTCTCTAGTCTACAGACTCAGATTTGAAGGCCATCTGTCATTTTAACCGACCACACGCTTTTCCCCCCCTCTATCTGAAATCAAAACTTTGCTTTCATTACATAATAAATATAGCATGTTAAACTAATTTATTGTTAAATTTAATCACTGAAATATCTGCAGCATTGAGTGTTTTGCTAAAATTCTGTTTAGATATCCATCATTTTACACCTGATTTACCAAAGCAAAGCCAGTTTCATTTATCCTTACATTCATGTCAAGGGAGTTGTGGTTTCGAGCGAAGGGATAAAAAGCTCCCAGCTGAGTCCAGCGGACACACAGCTCCTCCTGCGGCTCCTCGCTGAAGCCGCAGATGTCTGCTCCCACCAACGGGATGCCCAGAAGGTTAAAGGTCAACATACCTGGTGGAAATGGAGACAAATAAAAATAAGTACAAAAAGAACAAGGAGAGTGTGTGGAATTTAGTGCCATCTGGTGGTGAAATTGCATTTTCAAAACATGCTGTGTGTTAGGGCCATGGTAGATTAAAAAAAAA